CTTCTATATTGGTTATTCTTCTTAAGTAGGTTTCTTAAAGAGGGAGAATCTTGTAGTGGGATGTTACAAGTGAATGCTTCTTAGGGTACAAGAAATGGTTTCTTTCATAGTGCTGAAGTGTATTACATGTGGTATTGTGATTGTAAAACTTATGATATTAAAGATTAGTGGAAAATCTTAATCAGGTTGATCGGGAACTGGATGTAAGTCATAAATGGATATGATTGAACCAATATAAATTGGATGTGCATTTTTCTCTCTCCTTATACTTAACTTTACATTCTTGCAATTCAGTTTCTATACTTGATGTTATGTGTTGTGAGGCATAAACATAAAATGTAGAATTTAGTGATTTTAGACTTGCATTGAATATAAATTTAGTATCCTATATATAGTTATAGATTAGTACACTTCTTTGGAAAAAATTAGAAAAAATTTTCAAAATCAAGATAGTTGGGCAAAAAAAATTTTAAGCTACCAATTCACCCCTTTTTTGGTTAAGTCATCTTTTCTAACAAGCTTAACCAAGAAAGGGGTAAATTGGTTGCTTAAAAATTTATTGCATAACTTTCTTGGTTTTGAAAAACTTTTCTAAAGCTTTTCAAAGAAGTATATTGACCTATAGTTGTATGTAGGATATCAAGTTCAAATTCTACACAAATTCAAATTCACTTAGTTCTATATGCAATTTTCATGATTCATACCTTATAACATCAAGCATAAAATCATAATTTGAAGAATGTAAATACAAGTAAAGGGATAGAGAAAAATGTAGAACCAATTTATATTGGTTTAGCCACATCTACTTGTGACCTACATCCAATCCCTAATCAACCAGATTGAGATTTTCCACTAATCTTTAATTTCATAGGTTTACCAATCACAATATCACTTGCAATACACTTATACACTATTAAAAAAACCACTTCTTGCACCCCCAAAAAACAATTACTTGTAGTACCCCATTACAAGATTTCCCTCTCTTAAGAAACCTACTTAAGAAAAACAAAATACAAAAGTTAAGGAACGAATTCACTTGATGTATAGAACAAATCAGAGTAGGTGAATTAACCAAAGTAGATTATCCTTTCACTCCATGAATATGACGATCAATTCAAATTTTTGAAATCTTTCTTGAGGTTACCACAAAGGTCACTAAACCTTTTCTTGTAAAGAAAAATGTTTTCTAGAGAGTGTTTTTGTAAAAGATATCACAAAGATTCATGTTGTAACAAACCAATTCATTTAAGTAAGAGAGAAAATCCAAGAGAGAGAGAGAGAAGAGAATCTTGAGAGGCTTCTTAAAGAAGCAACTCAATTTCTGAAAAATGAGGTATATGATGTAAAGTGTACATGTGTTACACTAATTTATAAATTACAAAAATGGGCCTAATCAGAGTAATTAAAGGTTCAATCCACTAAATCAACTAATTATATCACTAAACAAATTCTAACATTACATTCTAAAATTACAAAGAAACGAATGTGTAGGGCGTAACCTTGAAATGCATTTTTAGGTCACTTAAAGTCTAAACTAGCCTTTTCTTCCAAAAGAGAAGTTATAGAAATCTCTCTTATCTTTTCAAGGACACCAAGAACGTCCAAATCCAATGTCAAGAGCTCTAGATATGGCCTGCACAAGAAAAAATGTCAAAATAGAAAGAAATTACAAAAATTAACTAAAATTTACAACTAAGACTAAAATGACTCACTATAACAAATCAAAGTTAATATAACACAATATGATGCTAATAAAAGTCAAATAAATGAATAAAAAATAATGCATAGAAAGATACAAAAATTGGCCTATCACTAATCTCTATGAGCAATACTGAAAAATGAAGTAAGTTGCTACATCCTTCAAGCTTTAATTTTATGATGTCTTAAGTGTGTTTCTTTCGTGCAAGCCAACTTACGCGATAGGTTGGCTTGCTTATGTGATCTTGATCACATATCCACGATTGCATTGCTATATTAGTCCGCTCAAAGTGCTAAATGGTTAGCTTGAGCGAGCTCTTCATGGTACTCGAAGGGTGTATTTTGAAGTTACTTGCTCTAATGGCTTGCTTTGAGCAAGCATGAAGTTGTTGAGAGCGCACCTTCCTCTCACTCTAAGCAAATGTTCCCACTGTTAGCTCCTTTCTCATTAACTCCTCTTCCTTGTATCTTAAAACTTAAACAAAAAAAACATCAAAAGCACCTAAAACTAAAAGAACTCTACTAATTAACACAACAAAATCATAATACTAATTTTTCACAAAAACAAGACTCTAAAGCATAAAATATGCTAGATAATTGCCTAAATTGGATAAAAGATATTGACATATTTGAAAATTTCATTCACTTATTAAGACAAAATTGGATCTATCTTCTTTAATTGTAGGATCTTCCATCATCTTATCAAAATCTTTTGAAGCAAAACTTGTTGCTTCATGAACTTCACTAGGTGGAATGTGCCATGCATAGTCTTCAAAATTTCTAGGGTTTGGCTCCACTAGTGATGCATCCACACTTAAATGTTCAACATCAATTGCATTAATTTCCACAATAGACGATGCAATATCATTGGTTGCTTCAGATGTTCTTCCTTTGATTTATTCAAAATGCAATGAGATCAATTTAGTACTTGTTTTTTCAACAAAAAATTGGTCCACAGAAGGAACTATAATGAAATCAGCATTAGTTGCGACTAGTTCTAGTACTAGCAAAACTTGTTGCTTAGGGAGAGGAGTGAGAGGTACTTTAGCAGACACTTCAGATTGTCTCTTCAACATTTCTCCAAGGAAAGGATAGAGAAAATACTTGGCCACAAAAGCAATCTTAGTCAGAGAATGTTGGTCTTTAATATCAGTGCAAGGATGGTTAATGTCCTATACAACCCTAAAGAATACCTTTGTCACAAAGATTATGTGATGTCCTTTGATTGGTATGTATCAAAAGGTTTGCTCTAGCTCTAATTCTTTCTCCTTTTCTACAACATCAACGAAAAATACTTGTATTTTCCTTGACAATCAATGCAACTTTCTTCTACTAGTTCTACTTCTTTTCCTCCAAAGAGACACACCATGCTCTTTTCAAATTGAGCACCTTTTAATGTTTGGTCTTAAGCATATGAAGGCCATGTATCACTCGTCTCTTCTAGGATCAAGTCAGTTTAGGGGCTTTCTATGCAAGTTTTGTTGATAGATAATAAGAGGTTATGTTGTAACAAAGGCAGAAAGATAAGGGCTTGTCATCAAAGTTTAATGATGAGTCAGCTAAACTGATGGCAATTTTCATTTTGGGAAGGTGAGGGTATTTTGTTTTCTATGGTAGCGGTGAGGTTGTGTTTCGGTTGGTATTTAGGTGGAAGGTATGAAAATGATTGTTTGATAAGGTAGACTTTAGACCTTTTTGGGTTGTAGAAGGGCTTCAAGTAGTGTTTTGGCTAGTAGTAGGCTTCTTGGTCTTGGGATAAAAACATTCCTCCATCTTCTTCTCCATGTATTTCCTCTTATACCTAGGAAATAAATGGGAAATATTCATCCCATGCATGGTGTTGGGGTTGATCTCTATCAACCCTTTTCCATCTTCATAGCCATCTGTGTTGATGCTAGCAACTTCAATGACTTTTGTAAAGAGCATCCCATAAGGAATGGGTGCTCATTTGTTTTGTTCATTATGCTTAGGCAAGACTTCACATGGGTGAAGATGGGGATTGGTAGGTTCACAATAACTCTCAAGCATAGATGGTAGATGTAGAAATGACCAAAATCTAAGACGTTATCCCTAGACCTCGATCGAGGGATGAACATGTTTAATAGAAAGTTGTGCATCAACCTACGCATAGGCTTCATGTTTACCGCATGCAAAAATTGATTTTGCTTCACCTTCTTTAGTGGAAGCTAAGAGGAGTAAAGCATGATGTCCATCATCTCCTCAATGATGACCTTGTCTCATTACTTAGAATAAGTGAGGCCAACCTCTTTGCATTCAGTGAAAGTAGCGATCAATGTCGAAGTTATTTTGATCTCCTAATTGTGCATAATGCCAATAATGGTACCATCAATCATAATACTTGCCCATAAATAAGCATACAGTGCATGGAACCATTTGTATTTCATCTCAAGGAAGCTTGACCATCTAACTTTACCAAGGTAGTGTTTCCCTATGGATCTGTCATCAATGAGGTTGATGAGGTTCATGAACTTCCCATGGAGAAAGCCAGTCTTAGGATACTTTTCTATGGGAACTTTGGTTTTGTGAACAATATTTGGTGCCATTTGAGTAAGGGTAAAAGAGTGAGGGTTTCTAAGAGAAGAGAGTTCTTGAGAATAAGAGAGTCAGATGAAAATGGTTAAGTGTTTGAATTTAAGAGGGAGAACATGGTTTTGCGATACACGGTTTGTAAGGTGAAATGACATGGACAGAGAAAAATGTGAGTTATTAAATGCTAATTTGACAATAACTCTAATTGTCCCACTGTTCTGGCACACATTTATCAAAAACCTTTTTGCAATCATTCAAAAGATTAAATGTACAAGATTCATTTTCTAGGATAGGATGATTCGCTAGTGTAAATATAATAATAAAACATTAAAGACAAATTAATAAGATGACAGATGTTCCATATAAAGACGATGCATATTAAATGATGCATGTAAGACAAATTAAGCATATGTAAGATGATGCATGTTCAAACTTTAGCTTGTCGTATACTTTAAGTTAAGATGCTCTCTAATGAATCTAAAACATTCTTCAACTAAAACTTTTATAAAGATATTAGCTTGTTGATGATCAGTGTCTATAAATTTGATGTCAAAATCTCATTTTGGTATATAATCTCAAATGAAGTGATATCTTATCTTAGTGTGTTTTGCTTTAGAATATTGTATGGAATTTTTAAAAAGACTAATGAAACTAGCATTATAATAAAAGACATGTATATTATGATCAAAACATGAATGATCTTCTAATTGATACTTCACCTATAGTAGTTGTCAACAATAACTAGCAACTGAGATATATTTTGCTTCTACAATGGACACGGAGTTGTAAATACATTAATTAAAAATACATTTCCATCACTAATCTTAATTTGTTACGAAGAATGCACATACGGAAATCAAAATACCGAAGTTGTTGTATACGTAGGACCCAAACAACAATGAGACACGTCCTTTTTATTTACTTGAATATGTTTTTGAAAACAAGAGAATGGCATCATACTACATATATATATATAGTTTTAAATCATCTCAACCGTGCCACAGCGCTTCTTCTTAGGGGCTGCAGCTTCAACATCATCGTATAATGAACTTCCATACTTTGAACTTGAATTTTCAAGCTTATCGCCCTGACCCCAGATGGCATAAGCTTCTTCTCCATGAGCAGCCTCATCACCTATCTCCATATCCTCTTCAGACATTCTCAACGGAACAAAAAGTCTAATGAAGAGGCAAATCAAGCTTGTGCTGATAACATTAACAACGATAACAAAGAGAATCCCAAGGATTTGGACTCCCATTTGCCTGAACCCGACCATGGGCCTTTTGTCATGGAGGCCATAAAATAAACCAACGTATTTTAAATAATTTCCATAGAAAATCTTGTTAAGCTTTGGATTAGCAAAGAGTCCAGTGAGGAGTCCTCCTAGGGTTCCTGCAATAGCATGTGTGTGAAACACTGCCATTGTATCATCAACCTTCTGCAGTAGCTTTGATCTCTTATGGATCACCATCATGGTGACCCAAGGAATTGAGCCTGAGAGGACTCCCATTATAAGTGCTGCCCATCCCTGCACAACTCCTGAACAAAATAGGAAGGAACAGTTACACCATCAAACATATAAGTACTAATAACACACTCTTTTTTGATAGTTGAAATTCATTAAAAAAACAAAAAAAATGAGAAGAAAATCAAGGATTTTTTTTCATTAACACAATTCACATAATATTTAAAAACTAACTTGTATTTATTGGATATGACTTCTACTAATCAAAGTATTATTTTAACATCCATGGAATTTGACCATCAGAACATCATGTCCACCCATTTGTCTTAGAATAAGCTTTGCAACTATTAGGTCAAGAGATTTGGTTGTATGAGAGGAAATTATCAAATTTTGTGATTTTCAACAAATTTAAAATGATGGGAGTATCCAAAGGATAGGATTGTATGAAAGAGTATTTTGCTAACATCTCTTTGTGACTAACTAGATTGTATTTTGAGTGTGAAATAAAGTGTACAAACCTGCAGCTGGGGTAATGCAAACCAAACCAGTGATCATGCCTTGAACGGCTCCAATGACAGAAGGCTTTCGGAAAAAGATGACATCAAGGATGACCCAAGTGAGCAAGCTGGTGGCAGTGCAAGCATGAGTGTTGAGGACGGCGAGGGAAGCATCTAAACCCACTGAGTATGGATCTCCCCCGTTGAAGCCAGTCCATCCCATCCACAACATCCCTGCCCCTGCCAGCATAAGAAGGATGTTGTTTGGAGGGAACCTTTCCCTGTCCTTGTTTAGCCGTGGTCCAACCTGTCAAACCATATATAACTATTCTTTTCATTCATCAATATGGACACCTTAACATATCATACATTCCATCAAGACCGGTTTTTTTCCTATTCTTTTGAAATTAAAATGTTGATGAATTGCTTACCCAAAATGCAGCTGTGAATCCAGCAACCCCGGAAGACAAATGGATGACATAGCCACCAGAGTAGTCAATGATCCCCATGGTGGACAAAAAGCCAGCAGGGCTCCAAATGCTGTAGGCTGTGAAGGTGTAGGAGAATGTGAGCCACAAGGGCACAAACAACATCCAAGCATAGAAGTTCATGCGACCCAAGAGAGCCCCAGCAATGAGAATCAAAGTAATGGCAGCAAACACACACTGGAAATAGACCATGGTGGCATTCGGGAAGAGCCCCAGAAACGCAGGCTTAAAAAGATAAGCTTGTTCCAAGGACATAGCTGGCTTTCCCCAGAAAGGAAGAAGCTGGTCACCAAAGGACATTCTGTATCCCCACACAACCCAACAGAAAAACACACAAGCAAAAGCATACAGCGACATGAACGCTGAGTTCACTGCCCATTTCTTCTTCACTGCTCCACCGTACAAAATTATGAGCCCTGGAACGCTTTGCAACCCCACCAGTGTTGCAGCTATCAGCTGCCATGCATTGTCTGCTTTGCTCATCCATTCCGGGCTTCCTTCGTTTGGCAAAAGGTTTGAGGGAAACGGAACCGTCGCGTTAACGTTAGCCATTTTTAATTTGTTTTCAAATCTCTCTTGTAGTGAATGAGTGTTTTTAATTCTCTCTATATATAGAATAATGATTGGTGGTGACTTAGGAGAACCTTGTTTCGAGTTTTGAGTTTTGATTCTCACGTCAAGCTGTAGAAGTTTTGTCTTGATTCTTAATTTGTCCTAGGTCATGTCGCTCGTATTATTAATGATTAAACTTAGGCGGGTATTACAAGCGCTGTTTGTTAACCGGATCACCAAATATTGTTTCTGTCTTAGTACGTATCACAAGAAGGCTATTGTAATATATATATACACGTAACTTTCTCTATATCAGAACTAAAACTAGACCTACAACTAGAACAACAGATCCTTTCACTTTAATAATAAGAATGTATATTCTCGTACCATTTCGCTGCATTATTTTAATGACAAGGAATACACACACTAGTGTAGTGATCATTGCTTCATACGTTTTTAATTTTCGCTTAAATTCATCTTTTGTTCTCTAACGTTTTGGGAATGTGTGGAGAGTATTATTGTGAAAAGAATATTTAGATAATTGCTTGAAGAAATCAAAATATATGAGAATTGAGTTATTGAAAGAATACTTATATCTTTATTAAAAAATAATGAAATTCAATCTGGTTAGATTGAGAATTGAACATAATCTCGATGATTGAAACTAACCAATATAAAAATACAAGTAACTTCTTACTACTTCACTATGTAAAAAGTGCGAATTTTTAATGATTAACCACTTATACCAAAATTTAAAACATTGATAATATGGATAGTTAAAATATAGGAACGAGAAAGAGAGAAGAGAATGAGATAAAATATTTTAAAAAAAATGATTTATTTTTTAAAACATTTTTATAAATAGATCGAATATTAATTCGTGCATTAAAAAGTTTGTTAATTATTGAATTTTTTTCCTTCATTAGATTGGTTAGATGAATTTTTTTAAAATGAAGTCTTAGTAGATCTAAATATATTATTTGTTTTATCCAATTTATTACAATTTAACTAAAAAAAACCATTCCTTCTCTTTGTGACTTTAAAAGGAATTAATCTGAAATGACAACATGACGGTCACATTACAAGTTTTCCTCCGTGGTTGCTGTAGATTTGAAGCATTTGTAGCTCGTTTTCTTGGTATGGGCACTTAAGAAACTACTTATAGGTGGTTTATCCATTGCTTATGGTCAATTATACAGCAGGCTTAGGACAAATTAAATATATTTATTAAATATATCATAAAAATACATTTTAAAAACAGTTAATAAAATAATGGACGAAATCCTTTGACACCAAGTGTTAAAATTAGTAAAATTACATATCAAATAACTTTTGGGAACATACAAATTTAGCAATCTAACTGTTGTTTTATATATATATATATATATATATATATATATATATATACAC